ACTCTCTCTCTACTCTCTCTCTACTCTCTCTCTACTCTCTCTCTACTCTCTATTACTCTCCAGTCGACGGTAGAGCGACGCATCGAGCAGGGACGACGTAGCGTAGTCAGCGATCCTTCGGGACCGACCTGTTCCACCTCGACCTCGAGTTATCCTTGGCAAGCATCTCACTGAGCTGCTGCCCTTGCAGCTGATTCCTGGCCCTCTCCCGTATCCGCCGCAGCGTCTCCTCCTCATTCACCCTCTCGGGGCAGTCAAAGTTGCCGCACTGGGTGGCCGGACAGACGAGGGGCCACGGCTCGGTGGTCCCCTTGTAGTCGACGTGCGGGCACCTCTCGGGCGGATAGCATGGCATCCCCTCGGAGCAGCATCTCACCTGCTCTCGACGGTATCTGTCGCACTTTTCCCATCTCCAGGTTCGGGTCCAGCCGCAGACGTGGCATAGTCGAATGTGTCTGCGACACATTTTTGTGTGTTCTGTCTGCGCTTTCTTGTGATGTCTCGATGATCTGCTTTCCGATTTCTCGACGATCCTCTCTCTCTCTCCTATGACGAGGTAGGGCGTGTGGGGAAGCGAGGGGAACATGATGTGCTACTGTCCGTGAGAAGAAGTCAGAGAGAGAGGCTGGGGTTTATGTCTATATATATATATATATATCAAGTCATGGGATCACACACGGTAGCTTGAACGGAGAAAGCATAAGAAAGTATGATCACACGCGAGAGAGAGAGAAAATAAGATTGTGAGTATAACGGTCTGTGGTGGTAAAGAGAGTTGAAGAAGAGAGAGAGAGAGAGAGTTTCCGAGGTGAATGAAGCGGGACAGAGCCTCCTCTGTGATACTGGACCTTATTTTCCTCTCACAGGTAAGATCCCAACTGTTACGAGGCCACACACACACATACACACGCACACATGACATGCCGAGGTTGATATGCTTGAATGGGAGGAGAAGAGAGAGATGGAGACAGTGGATAGAGTCAAGGCTCCGGTCGGTCCAAGCTCCGGAAGGTGGTCCATCGTCGGTCGTACCTGACGAGGTGCTGAGGCGGATTTGCGTTTGCGCCCGTGGCTGTGCGATGGCAGCCACGTTGGATGGCTGATATATATGCCGTGTACGGTCGAATGACGAGGTGATGTGGACTGGCTCTGGCGTGAGTGATTGCCTTTCAACTTCTACTCACACTCCGTTCCGACGACCCATGGCACGTGACGGCGATGAAGCGAGCATGGGCTTGGAAGCTGGGCTTGATTCATCGATACTCTGGCCAACTGGACACGGCCGCCGATCTAACAGGATCTGAGAATTCCCCGGGTAACTCGAGAGGGTTTACAGCAGCGACTCGCTGCGTGGCTGCCGACCGGTCAATATATCTTTGGTCGATACGATTGATGCTTGTATTGACTACTCACTACTACTGCTACGACTACTACGACTACGACTACTACGACTACGACTACTACGACTACTACGACTACTTACTATCACATACTATTACTGTTGCTTGCTATTGCTGCTACGTGCTATTACTGCTACGTGCTACTACTACTGCAGCACTGCTGCTACATGCTATAGTACTACAGACCAACCGTACTTGGTGGTTAAACGTCGCGTGTGCAGCTCAGGCTCCTCGATCCGACCTCCAACCTCGCTAGGCGAGCAGAGGCACGGAAGATGTGTTTCCGGATGCTGCCCTCCCCATGCCAGGTCGATCCTCGCTTCAGACCGGTCCCCGCCTCCCCATGTCTCATGCCTACCCTATACCATCAATGTACAATGTACCAGCCACTTAAGATGGCAAGCTCGAATGATGGCGGGCTTATTCCATACACGCACATATATATATATATATATATATATATATATACATTACATACACATGTATACATACACACTCACATATATATATATATGTATATGTATATATATATATATGCTTACATGCATCCATACATACATACACACACACATATATGTATATATATATATATAAACATGCACACACACACACACACACACACATGTATATACATACTATCACTATTTATATATCGGTTCCTTGTAACCCTACTCGGGGAAGAAAAGTCAGCTCCCTCGAGATTGAGAATCTCCCGAGTACCACCGTCTGCTCCCGCTCTTCATATACACTAGAGCATCACTACCACCTAGTCTTTTTTAGTCTTAGTCTTACTGTATAGCGCCACGTGGTAATGGTCGTATGTGCCCGAGAGATTGCTGCTGCTAGAGATGGCTTGTAGATTTCCAAAAGAACGAGAGCAAGACATAGCCGGGGTGGGGGTGGATGTCCTTTGGGGGGGGGGGGGTACGTGAGAGGTTGCAGGCGATAGGCGATCACCCCCTTCCCCTCCCTAGGAAAGACAGGCTGCATAGGAAACAGGCAGGGCAAGGTCTGGACGTGGACGCTTTTCCTCTCTCGGGCAGATTCACAGCTGCCGACTCTGTATCCTGGCAGGTTGGAAGGTTGACAGTTCAGGCCTTCCATGACTCTTGGGACAGTCTGCGCTACGTTTGCTCATGATTGATGCTGTCATCTTTTTCTTCTCCCTTCTTTTTTTTCACTCTCGTCTTTTTTCTTTCTTTCCTCTTTCTTCTTTCTTTCTTCTTTTCTTAAACAAGGAGGCGCGAAGCCCAAGTGGTGTCGATGATGATGATGCCCGGAACCCAGGCGAGAGAGTCTGAAGCATCGTCACCGGTTCCTGACCTGGAATCGAAAGGGAAATACGAGACCAAAGGCAACACAGGAGACAGCAAGTTTCCTCCCATTCACGTCTGTCGAGCAGATCATCCATCTACTTACTCCAGACACCCTCGCACGTAAACCACATGTACTTCCCCCCTTCCCCTCACTGCTATGCGGGGGAGGAAGGGTGATGAAACCAAGAGAGTTGTAAAAAAAAAAAAGAAGGAATTATATCATCTCTTTTTCAAATAAAAAAAATAATAATCGAAAAGGAAAAAAAAAACTAAAAAAAAATATTAAAAAAATCCAGAGTCCCCCCCATCACTTCCGACATCCGGGACGCCGGACTCTAGCTTCGTGCTGATTCACCCGACACCCCGTTTTTCCCCCAACCCTTTGGGCATCGTGGAAAGAGAGAGAAAGAGAGAGAGAGAGTGTGTGTGTGTGTGAGAGTGTGAGAGAGAGAAGAGAACGTGGGGGGTCGACACCTTCTACGTAAGCTATACATACGGATGGAGTAACTTGCGGAGAGTAGAGAAAGGTCCGAAACAGGATAATATCATACATGTAACGTGCCGTTTGGGTCCCCCCCCTCTTCCCCAAAAATACACACACACACACACACATTTGCTTTTCCGATACTGTCCCATCGGAATAAGATGGGGCACACACACACACGCACGCACGCACACACACAACAGCAGCAGCAGCAACGGCAACGGCAACGATCATGTGGATCGAGGATACCAAGACACGCATCCCCGCATATCTCACGGAGCTTTGCCGAGACGTGAAGAGACGTGGGGGTCACTAAGACGCAGATGTCCGGCTATTACATGACTTTCCAGCACTGAGTACCATGATCTCGCACAGAAAAAAAATCCAAGATACTAAATAAAAAAAATTAAAAAAAATTAAAAAAAAAAAGAGGCCGGTGGTAATACGCACTCCCCTCCCCCGCCCTCTCCCTTCCCGTACGAGTGTGTGTTGTCGGAAGTATCTATAAGAGGAGGGGGAGAGTCCAGCCCAGTTCAGTCAGGTTCAGCTTCTTCCTCTCCTATCCTTCTTTCTCTTCCCCTCCCCCCCCCCCCCCCCCCCCCCCCCCCCCCCCCCCCCCCCCCCCCCCCCCCCCCCCCCCCCCCCGCTCTTCCCCTTGTAGCATATCAGTCAGCAGAGGAGAAGAAAAGGGAGAAGACAGACCGAAGATAAGGAAGAAAAAGAGTCCAGACCAAGACCGAAACCGAGACCGGACAGACAGACGGACAGACGGACGGACGGACCGATACGGAACCCGATGTCTCAACCACTCCCTCCGCTCCCTCCGGGCGTCTACGTCCCCACAGTAGCCTTCTTCACCCCGGACGACGAGGTAGACGTGGAGACGACGGCGTCGCACGCGAAGCGCCTGGCAGCGGCCGGGGTGACGGGCATCGTCACGCACGGCTCCAACGGCGAGGCCGTGCACCTGTCCCACGATGAGCGGCGGCTCATCACCCGGACGACGCGGGACGCCCTCGACTCGTCCGGGCACCCTGGGCTCCCGCTCATCGTCGGCTGCGGCGCCCAGTCGACGCGGGAGGCGATCCGGCTCTGCCGCGACGCCGGCTCCTCGGGCGGCACGCACGCCCTCGTCCTCCCGCCGTCCTACTACGGCCCCCTCCTGACCACGGACCTGATCGAGGCCCACTACCGGGCCGTGGCCGACGCCTCCCCCGTGCCCCTGCTCATCTACAACTTCCCGGCGCCCTGCGGCGGCCTGGACCTGAGCTCCGACACCATCATCCGCCTGGCCGCCCACGCCAACATCGTCGGCGTCAAGCTCACCTGCGGCAACACCGGGAAGCTGGCCCGCGTCGTCGCCGCCACCAGGGACGCCCCCGGCGGCTTCCGCACCTTCGGCGGCAGCTGCGACTTCACCATCCAGACCCTCGCCGTCGGCGGCCACGGCGTCATCGCCGGCACCGCCAACCTCGCCCCCAAGGCCTGCCTGCGCGTCCTGCGGCTGTGGTCCGCCGGCGAGGCCGACCGCGCCCGCGCCGTCCAGGAGGTCGTCGCCAGGGGGGACTGGGCCGCCATCAGGGGCGGCTTCGTCTCTGTCAAGGCCGCCCTGCACGAGTTCCACGGCTACGGGGGCGAGCCGAGGAAGCCGTGCGCCCTGCTCCGCGGTCAGGCCCTGGCCGACCAGCTTGCTGACTTTCGGGAGCTGGTTGACTTGGAAAGCGGGTTGTAGATGGTATCTCTATCTCTGTCACAGTAACCAGGTACACCTGATGAGTTGATACTTGACCCTGCTACTTCGTCCAGTCTCCGTTCTTTCTTTCTTTCTTTCTTTCTGTCTTTGTTCTTCTTGATTATCCCCATTCAGACGGGAAGAGGGTTGGCGGAGGGAAATTCTAGAGGGAAAAGTCTTTCCAAAACCGTGTCCCTATTTATCCATTACGGTGATCCTAGAAACCGACAAGAGACAAGATGGGGACCACACGTCCTATCTTATTATCCCATGCTGATGCATTCGAGCATAGGCCTGCCCGGAACACTCTAACTTGCCCAGATTGGATCTTGACTTTCAGGAAAACGGGTAACATTCCATCCTTGTATACGATGATTCACGTAGAAGACATAACCGTATCAGATCTTGCTCCTACTTCAACTAGACAATGACGAACAAGAACAAAAAACGCCCGAATGTGAAGACCCGATATGCGGAACAGTGGGGGGGACGTCATAGCAAGGAAAGAAGGGAAAAGAAAGAGAAACAAAAGAAGAGGAAAGATGAAAGACGATAGATTTAATCCTTCTTCCCCTTTTTCGACTTCTTGCGAGACGACTTCTCCTTATCCCCAAAGACCTCCTCATATACCTCACTAGCCGTTTGTTGTCCTGCCTTGCGCTTCTGCTGCTTGGACGACTTGACCGAGACTTCCAATGTGGATTTCCCGTCCCTCGATGCCTTGGCGACTTGCTTCTCTGCTTCTTTCCAACCTGGTGCGTCACCTTCGATTTCATATCTGTCGGGCGGGGGGGGGGAAGGATCTTGTGTTAGTATAGATGACTGAAGGGGAGTTTCTTTTTCTCTTTTTCCAAAAAAAATGGTGGAAAGATAAAGAGGATGTATGTAGGAAAAAAAAAAGATGGTAAGAGAGAAAAAAAAACAGAGAAAGAGGAAAGTGACAGGAAAGAAGATACACATACTGGTCAAGGGGTAGCGAGTCGATGAGTTCCCTCTGCTTCAGCTTGAGCTGCCTGAGGGCCTCGTCACCACCTTCTTCGAGCTCATCGTCGAGCTTGGTCTCGAGCGGGGCGTACCTGTCGTCGACGGGCTCGTCGTCGTGCACGCCGGCGGCGTCCTCCCGGCTGACGCCGAGCAGCTGCGGCGGCGCGTCCGGCATGTCTTCCTGGGCGGCCTGGGCGACGAGCGAGGCCAGGTGGTTGGACACCTTGCGCAGGATCTTGATGAACATGGCCATGAGCTGGGGCATCGGCAGGTTGATCTCGGGGGCGGTGGTCTCCATGTCCTTCCGCTGCAGGCCGATGGCCAGCAGCACCGTCTGCTGGACGCCCGACAGCGACACGGCCGGGCGCAGGCGGCCGGTGAAGTACAGCGTGGCGATGGTGGGCACCAGGTCCAGGATGACGTGGTAGTCCAGCATGTTGGCGGCGTACGACTCGAGACGCTTCAGGTCGAAGGGCGTCATGTGCCGCGACAGCTCGGCGCCCGTGAGCGGTGGCGGGTCGGCGGCCGAGTCCAGGGATGCGCCGGACCGGGCCGACTCGTCGATGCTCAGGGCCGCCACCGGCTCGAAGGAGCGGAAGTGGTACGATAGCAGCGACAGGTAGCGCCGTTGGAAGTCGCGCGCGAAGGCGCCCGCCCAGCTCTTGTCGCCGGCGCGGTCCAGCGGCCGCACCATGACGCACGTGTGCTCGCCCGTCAGGTCGTTGGCCGTCTGTCGGAGGTACACCGGCACGAAGGAGGCCCGCTTCCAGAACCGGTGCAGCTCGCGCGTCATGCCGTAGCTCACGCCCAGGTAGTCCAGGGCCGACGGCCGCCTCTGGTGCAGCTTGGCGAAGAGCGGGGCCATCTCGCTCTTGTCGCGCACCGTCACGGCGTCCTGCAGCGACGAGGCCGCCAGCTCGGCCTCGGTCATGCGGTGCAGCGACGTCGACGTCGCCGCCTCGCCGCCGAGCAGGGCCCCGTCGTCCTCCGACAGGCTGGTGAACCGGCCCTCGTAGTAGTCGCGCAGCAGGTCCAGCGCCCTGGTGCCGTACCCCATCGACACATACTCGGGGTTGGTCGCGATGCGCACCACACGCGCGCCCGACAGCGACGCGAAGTTTTCGTCCTGGAACTGCTGCGACACCAGCCACGGGATCAGGTCACCGTTGGGACGCTGGCCCCTGCTCAGGCTGTTGAGCACGCTCTGCCGGCTGATCCGTCCCTCGAGCGCCACCTGGATCACGCACAGGGGCTCGGGCAGCGTGCCCGAGCTCTCGTCCAGCGGCGGCACCAGCACGAAGAGCTCGTGCGCGGGCGCGTCGCTCATCAGCTGCAGGTCGTCGGGCGTGTTCTTGTAGTGGCTCGCCACGTACAGCGCCACCATCTGCTGCAGGAACTTCTCGGGGACCGGGTGGTACGAGAAGAGCGTGTCGCGGTTGACGTTGAGGAGCTCGCACCTGTTGGGGTCCGGGCAGCCGTTGGCGCGCGATCTGGCCTTGGGCAGCGTCGCGTCCAGGCACAGCAGCTTGTTGAGCCACCTCTCCACCGAATCGCCCTTGGCGTAGCGGATCGGCTCGTCGAGCGAGATCTCGCGCAGCTTGCGGCCCGTCGTGAGCTCGCCCGTCGACCTGGACGCCTTGCCCGTGGATCGGTCCGTCAGCACCGTCTCGCCGTCTCCGCCGCCACCCGCCGCCGCCGCGGCGTAGGACTGGTCGCGCAGCTGCTTGATGAGCTTGAGCGAGAGGGAGCGTCCGGTGCCCTCGTAGCCGTTGATCGTGGAGGCCATGAAGACCAGGTAGGGGCCCATCAGCTTGCGGACGAGGGGCAGGGGGATCGCGGCGGCCTCGTCGATGACGAGCAGCTCGGCCTGGCCGAGGACGTGGGCGTCCTGGGGGCGGATGTACTGGATGGTCTGGCGGTGCTGGCGGTGGATGTTGACGCGGACGATGGCCTTGTTGAAGTCCGGGTTCGTGCTCTGGATGATGGAGTAGTCGGCGTGGTCGGCGTAGCCGAGGGCGTCGAAGCCCTTGAAGACGAACTCGAAGAGGGTCTTGAGGTTCTCCGGCGTGGGGGAGGTGATGAAGATGTTGCTGTAGCCGTAGGCGACGGCGGCGGCGACGGCGACGCCCATGGCGGCCGACTTGCCGCGGCCTCGGGCGGCCGTCAGGGCCACGGTGCTGCGCAGCGTCTTCTCGGCGATGGCGTCGGTAAAGGTCAGCAGGGCCCTGGCCTGGTCGACGGTGCGGGCCAGCGAGATGAGCGACCCGACCGGCTGGCGGTCGGCGTGCTCGTCCCGGACGGCGTCGAGCGCCACGTCCCCGGCCGACCTGGCCTGGTCCAGGTCCGGCGGCGGCAGCGCCTTGACGTCCTTGCCGCCCGAGATGGGCAGCACGTTGAGCTCGTCGTCGATGACCAGGCACGAGTCGCAGCTGCCGAGCGACAGCAGGAACCGCTCGTTGAAGCGCGCCACCACGTCGCTGTGCGCCTCGGTCCGGTACCGCGAGTGCACGTCCATCGACAGCCCGTACAGCTGCTTCAGGCTGCTCATGCCCTTGAGCAGCAGGATCACCAGGCCGCCGCCCTCGACCGTCTCGACCGTCCGCGCCAGGATGTTGGGCGTCACGGCCTCGAAGTCCTGCAGGATGCACATGCCGAACGTGTTGCCCAGCACCTTGTCCGTCTCCTTGTAGTAGCAGTACCGGATGTTGTGCAGCGACACGAACAGCTCGAAGGCGTCCTCCGTGTTGGCCTCGCGTATCCCCCTCTTGATCTCCTTCTTGATCTTCTGCTCGCGCTTCTGCCGGTGGCTCGTGAACCCGAGGAGCTTGTTCTTGTACGCCCACAGCACAGACTTGTTCTGCTTCATATTCTCCCTCGACATGATGAAGTGCAGGTTGACAATCACATCCTTGGGATGGTCGCCTACCACCACGAAGAAACTCCTCTTCTTTTCCTGCTGTCCATTTCGTATCAGTGCCTGGATGCGGCCGTCCCTGCAGTTGTTTCAAACGTCAGCCTAGCCCAATCGCACTCCTCTCCATCTTCTTCTGTTTTCTGTATTTTTTTTTTTTTTTAATTTTTTTAAAAAAAAATTCTTTTCTTGTTTTTTTCACTTCGACTGCTAGTTATGATTGCCGCATGAGACTTACACTTGCTTGCGCGACATTTTGGACCAAGTCTGCCTTTTTATCTTCGCACAGTAGAGGGAAGAAGTAATAAAGGAGACGAATGCAGCACGAAGAGAGAGAGAGAGAGAGAGAGAGAGAGAGAGAGAGAAGAGGCTATGGTCCCTCACAAACTTTCGGATGCTTTCTCTGCGCCAGCGACCAAATTTTTGGCGATCGACTGGATTCTGCCGGGCGGTGAGAAGACGAGCGTCCCCCGAAAAAAAGACGTGGGGCACATGCGACTTGTGCCTTTCTCACCATGAGCTGCGAGTTATGAAGAACGATGACCTCTTGTTAGACTCAGGGTTCTCTCTCTGTCAACGACTCGACCGCAGCCATCACAGCGACAGTGTAACAAGACAATCTGTTCAAAGTAGATAGTCATCGGATTCGAATTGTGTAACTTGATTATTTCTCAGGTCCCCCCATCATATCTACTACCGCCGCTCCTCCTCCTCCTCTTCCTCTTCCTCCTCCTCCTAGTATACATTTAACCAAAAAAAAAAATTTCGAAACAGGAAATATAAAAGTACAGACGCGCTTCCTCATCATTGAGGAGAGGGATGGCATATGCTGCTGCTGCTGCTACTACTGCTACTACTACTCCTACTACTGATGATACTAATACTAATACTGCTAGTACTGTGTACTAGCAGTGAGCCTAGGCAATCGCATGGCATGCAATGATCCTTGTAAGTATAAGTAAAAATAAAAACATTCCTGGAAGAGTCATCCATCCATATATATGGTATATATATATATGTATGTGCTGTCGTGTTGTGTGTTTGTGCGCAATAATCATCCTCTTGAGATCATTACTAGGTACTCTGGTGCGCGAGATCTATGAAGAGAGCAGAAAAAAGAACGGAAGAGAAATCTTAGAAGCCCCAACAAGAGAATCAATGCAGCACACAGTGGTTTCCAGGAGTAGGCTAGCCAGGAGGTCAGAGAGGAAATGGGGTGGAAGAGAGGTCATCCAGGTGAGTGGGAAAGGGATGCAGGATTTCCTCTCCACCCATAGATGCCGTGCCAAGGAGATGCAAAGTAGTAGTTGACCAGCCACTGCCCCCCTTTCCGCCAATGATGATGGAGAGACGATGCCGAGACAGAGGGAATCGACGGGAAAGGGAAAGGAAGGATTGAAGAGGAAGAAAAGAAAAAGAGAGGGAAAAAATCTGGACAGACGGCCCGGATCCGGGCTAATATCATCGTCCTCGTATGACGGGATATCCTCCCCCCAAGAGTCGACGCCGAGCCACGGAGCGGCTTTCTCTAATTGCGGTCGAGCTTGCGGCGGAGGTTCCTGGTACGGCGCATGAGCTTCTTGTACTTCTTCTTCTTCATCCTGAGCTTGCGCTGGCGCTTGACGCTGATGGCGTGCATGTCGCGGCGGCCGGCCTGGGACTCGTTGAGGCGGAGCTGACGGCGGGCGAGGCGCTCGACGAAGCTTCGGGGCTGGTGCTGCTCGTCGTGCACGATCTGGGGGGAGTGGGCGACGATGCGGATCTGGCCGTCGGGCTCGGTATTCTCCTCGATCGTGAACATGGCCTTGTAGGAGCGGTGCTGAGGCGTGGCGGCAGCGTCGGCGGCAGCGTCGGCGGCAGCGTCGGCGGCAGCGTCGGCGGCAGCGTCGGCGGCGGACGCGGACTTGTGCTGCACCTGCGACTGCGGCTGGGGCAGGGGCGGAGGGTGGAAGGGCAGGAAATCGCCCGACATGGCATCGACCTGGATGGAGATGGCCGAGTCGCTGCCGTCGGGGTTGCGCATCTCGATCCTGTGGACGCCGTCGCTGTGGTGACCGTCCTGGTGCTGCTGGCCGTCGAGGGTCATGGTAGCCATGGGTCCCTCGAGCTGGTCGATGGTGTTGGAGATTGTCGACATGGCGTCCGACACTTTGCTGCCGCGCGTCCGGGGCGCAAAGATGGAGGCGAACTGCTCGTCCGTAACGGTCCTCGGCATGGTCTGCGTGATGGAGATGGGTCGGTGGAGGGAGAAGAAGCTGGAGAGGCCGAGGGCTGTGTACGGCTGTTAGCGATGCGTTCTTCGTTTCTCTCCTCTTCTTTTTCTTCTAGTCCCTCTTTTCCGAGGATCGAGCCTCGTCCAAGGACCGGAGCTAGAAGACGACGGGAGAGGGACGGGAGAAGTGAAGGGAGGCGGATGGGAAACGTACCCTCTCCGACCATGTGGTGCGTGTTGGGAACGCTGGGCAGCTTCTTGGTGGCGTCGCGATCGGCAGCAGCCTTGCGCTTCCTCTTGTCGCCGCTGGCCTTGGACTGACCCCGTGCCGAGGGGACGGACTGGCCCGTCATGTCGTCCGAGCCCCCATTATCCGACCTAGACGGTTTCGACGAGGAGTACCGCCGCTGGTGACCGCGGGCGAAGAGAGGGGGGGAGACTGCGGTGCACGTCATCGTCGTCGTCGTCGTCGTCGTCGTCGTCATCGTCGTAACAGCAGCTCTGACGGCAGCAGCGACGGCTGATGAGGAGGCGGCGTGCTGCTGGCCGGCCGCCACGACGCGGCGTACCGACGAAGGTAACATGATGGCGTGTTTGGGGACAGAGACTGCGGAACCTTCAACAGATGAGGATCTGCTTCTCCTTCATGTGTCGTCCTGAGATAGAAAAGGGGAGAACCGCGGGAAGGAAAGGGAGGGGGGGGGGGGGGGGGGGGGGGGGTGTTCAAATGTGTTGTGTGTGGAGAAGAGAGAGATGGATTGGGGGCGTTGGAGAATGGATGGAGAGGGAG